ACGTAGACTTATATACAAGCACGCACTGAGAGACAATCACACACACCTGACAGGACACGAAGGTGGAGACAATCAGACAGTCAGCAGAGAAACCAGAGAGTGTAAGAATGGGGACCAGTCACCAGGGGGCACCATACTTACAAATTTAGCACATTCAATGGCGATCTGTGTGACACGGAATAATTCCTTTTAGCGCATGTGCAAATGAGCTACACTACGGATTGTGTTCCGTAACAGATTGGGGAATGACAAGGGCCTCCACTTCTGCTTCTGGGTTAAGACGAGTCGAATGGACGCCTCCGTGCTGAACATGTAACTTTTTCCTGCCTTATGGACAATAAATTGGTAAACTGAAATTATATCTCTTGATTTATTTGAGTTGGAGCCAGTTTCCTCTCCATCTGGGAACAAAAGTACCAGACGCCGGTGGTGGGGAGTCGGACCGGTTTCAAGGACGAACCCGGTCCGGATTCTTCACTTTGTCTCCAGGTAGAACACAGTGATTATTTCAGTGAAAGCATGAAAGTGCAATGTACTGTTATCATTGTACGTTCCCGTTCAATGACAAAATGTGTGCTCTGCATGTACACACAGTACAGCCAATTGGAGCAGCAGGCAACTATGCAAGCGCCTGGGAGCAGGTAGGGAATAGGCGTCTTGCTCAAGGACACTGTGGCATATGGGCATGGCTGGGGGTCGAACTTGTGATTTGTGTCTTTGTGAAAACATTACAGTTTGGGGGCTTTTGTGGTGGAATTGTATTTTATCTGTTTATATATCTCACTTTTGTGTTATCCACTGAGGAAGATGTATTTTTATTTTTCTTGTTTTTATTTTGCCAGTGTTGTTTAGATTTTGTAGTGCATTGTGTATAGTTGCTTAGTGTAATGGGTGAGTGGTGGCACAGAGGTTAGGTGAGCCTGTAATTAGACGGTCGTCGGTTCGATCACCTTGCTCAACAACATAAAAATGTGGGTTGGAAAGATGACGCAACCACACCTGCCTCCACCATCCCTTGCCTGACTCTGGGCCCTTGAGCAAGGCTCTTAACCCCCACCATCTGCTCCCCCGGGCACCCTAGATAGCAGCTCTCTGCTTCACACAGAGGGCTGTGGTAGCTCGGTGGTCTGTGGTTGTGTCAGGAAAGGTATCCGGAATAAAAATAATTGCCAAGTCTTTGTGCGAGTTAGTTTGCTGTGGTGACCCTCAGGAAGGGAGAAGCCAAAGAAACACCAATAATAATAAATTGTTGTTTAGTGTATATATCGTGTTTTCCTGTTTTTATGTGTTGTGATGCATTGTTGATTTTATATATTTTTTAACTCATGTAAAGCGTCTTTGAGTATTTAGAAAAGTGCTATACAAATAAAATGTATTATTATTATTTTTGCTGCCATTATGTTTTCAGTTTTCCAAGCTTCTTATAGCCTTTGTATACTTTCAGTTCCCTCAACTTCCCTGTCACTGCTCTGCCACTCACACCTGTTCTCAATCTGTAATCACCCAGCTGCATTCAGGCTGTAATCATGCTTTGTAGTGTGTCTCCAGGTTCTCCCCTTTAAAGTGGCCAGATTCTCACTATTGTTGCCATGCCTCTTCATGTCCTTGTCACAGTTCCTGTTCATTGGACTTTTTATCATTATCTGTTCACTGTTTGATTGTTTTGGTGAGTATTATTTTTTTTCCATTATACTTGCCTGCCTGCCCTTTGAGTCCACCTCACTACCAAAGGTGATGGAAACATGTCAGAAAAACTTCTGTGTTGTAAATATTCAACAAACTTGTAAATATTTGTTTTGAGAACTGTTCTAGTTACTGATAACTTTCATTATTGATCAGTTTTAAATTGGCTGGTTACTTGCTGATAGTTTCATTAAATTCTTAATTTATAGAGGCTGAGATGGTGTAGGGCAGGGCAGCCAACTCAGGGTCCGAAGGTCCCGAGTTCGATCCCCGGTCATTGCACATGTTGTGGTGTCTCTGAGCAGCACGCCCAATCCCAAATTGCTCCCCGGGCAGCTTACATAGCTGCCCACTGCACCACCTGGGTGTATCCCAGGTGCAATGGGTTAAATGTAGAGAGCCAATTTCATCTTTGTATGGGAACATGCAATGATGACAACACATAGCACTTTATTATTTATTTATTTATTTATTCTTATTATTGAAATCTATCAAGTAGTTTATGGGATACTCAGCAAAAAACATTGGCTTTTTGCTTTTGGTGGAGAGTAATAATTATTTACCGTGGATTTTTGGGGACAGCTTTCTGTTAGTTACTTTAAATATCAGCAACAAATTAAAGGTAATTTGAGAATAAAAAATATTCCTAACTAGATTAAATTGTGGGCAGCACGGTGGCGCAACTGTTAGAGTTGCTGCCTCTCAGCAAGCAGGTCCTTGGTTCAAACCCCGGTCCAGGGGCCTCTCTGGGTGGAGTTTGCATGTTCTCTCCGTGCATGCGTGGGTTTTCTCCAGGTACTCCGGTTTCCTCCCACAGACCAAAAACATGCATGTTAGGCTGATTGGTAACTCTAAATTGTCCCTAGGTGTGAGTGGGAGAGTGAATGGTTGTTTGTCTCGTTTGTCTCTATGTGGCCTTGTGATGGACTTGCGACCCGTCCAGGGTGCACCCCGCCCCTCGCACAGTGATTGCTGGACATGGGCACCAGCGACCCCCGTGACCCAAAATGGAATAAACAGGTAAAGATAATGGATGGATGGATGGATGGATAGATTAAATTGTGTAGATTTAAATATTTTAATCTAGTCGTTCCCAGATATATTAATTTGCAATTCCAAAATGTGGGTCCATCCTGCGTTTAATAAACAACTTAGCAAAATCTGAATCCCTCCCCCCCAAAAAAAACAAAAAACTGTAGAAGCTTGAGTCATATGATTAACCTAGATTAGGTTGACTGTTATCTGTGTAGATAAACAAAAATGTTGAAATCGGAAATGTGTTCAGTGCATGCAAGCATAGTGTTCAGATGATAATATAAGCATGAATTTATTTTTAAATGTGGAAGAAAAAAGAACGAGTAAGATAACCATTAAGAATAAATTTCAAGAAGACCAGTAGAACACCACAAAGATAAAGCTCAGCATTCAGACTTTTGCAGAACTTCTTATAGTTTACTGTTTATTTTTTTTTTTTTAACTCTACTCTAATGCTAACATACTTAACAAATATGAGTGTAAATTTGTACCAAGACTGTTAAACACTGACTTCCCATACATGTCTCTCATGGCTGCCATCATTGTTGACCTTCAGTCACTTTGTCTCTTTCCGTAGGTTAACAAACACAAGTGGTAGATTGCATCAGGTCAAAAGTTTTGCTTAAACATTTAAATTTAGGGACACATTAACCATTAGTATGACATAAATGATGTGAAGATTTTGTTTATTATATACTGTAGAAATTTTTAATTTGAATATGAATAACTTTTGACTGGTCTTCATGACATCATGATCATATCTCTCCAGTTTTAGCTTCTCTCCATTGGCTCCCTGTCAAATTCAGAATTGAATTAAAAATCTCACTTCTAACATACAAAGCCCTCAACAACCTAGCTCCATCTTATTTTGAGATCTTATTGGTCCATATTTTCCTAAAAGAGCACTTCTCTCTCAGACTGCAGGTTTACTTGTGGTTCCTAGAGTTTCCAAAAGCAGAACGGGAGGAAGATCTTTCAGTTATCAGGCTCCTCTCTTGTGGAACCAACCTAGTTTCTGTCCATGAGGCTGACACATTGTCCAGTTTTAAGACTGGGCTTAAGACTTTCTTTTTAGATAAATCCTATAGTTAGGGTTGAACTGTTATGCTGCTATAGGCTTAGACTAGTGGAGGACAAACTGACCTCATTTCTTAAAATGAATTGTTAAAATTGAACAGTTTCCATTTGATACTATTTCTATCTTAACATGTGATTCTGGACCTGCCATTGTGTATCTGTTCCTCCTTCCTGTTCCTCTCAAACCCAGCCGGTCGAAGCAGATGCCGCTTGTCCTGAGCCTGGTTCTGATAAAGGTTTCTTCCTCATAAGGGAGTTTTTTCTTTCCACTGTCGCCTTCATGCTTGCTCAAGATGAGAGTCTGTGATGGAGTTAAACTCAAAGCAGTCTGCTCCTCAGATAAATAATGTTGTTAACGTGCTTTTTATATATGGTATATGAATGTTCCAGTTCTGTGCCCTGAGGTGACTTCTGTTGTGACTTGGCGCTATATTAATAAACTGAATTGAATTGAAACTTTATAATGAGCACATTTAAGGTTCGAAGAACCTCAAATAGAATCCAAGAAATCAGCTCCTTCTTTAATCCACATAAACAATATCTGGAAAGCCCTGCAAACAGTAAATTACAGCTACACTTAAAACGAGCAGCACACGTTTGTGATCCAAACTAAAACACAAACTGAACTCTTAGAACAATCAAATTAAAGTGGGTTACATTTGCAATTACAGGGTGACGCACTAACAGCATCAGATAGCCTTTACATTTTATTGCTGATAGAATTGGTACTCCAGTTAATAAATGATATTGCTCAGCCTTTAGATCTATACAATACCATGAGTATTTATCGCACTGTGAGCTATACATCTGGGTATCAATGTCAAACATAAACAGATGGTGAGTCATGATTATATAAAGCAAGTGGGCCCAGAATGGAGGGAAAGTGGAAGAGCAAAGATGGACAGTTGTGTCATCAGAAAGACGGAAAATACTTAAAATGATTTTAATCTAATCCTAAACAAAGAAAGAATAAAGTGCAGCTAACAGAACTTAATAATTCTTCTCTGACAACAAAAAATACTGCCCTGCTTCACCATTACTCATCTCAGGTTTGTCTTGTTTTCAGAACGATTCAGGGTCCGTTTTACCTCCTGAGACACTTCCAGTTCAAGGTATCAAACCCTTCCCATGACACCTTTATGACTTTCATTTGGCTCTTGATTTAATTTAGTGGTCCGGCGGTCCCTGAGTGTGCGGGTACTTACAGTTTGATATGTTTACGACACGGAACAGAGTTCCTCATGCAGGTGCCGGTGAGGATGTCCACGTTGTCGACAATGACGAAAGGTTTCTCCTCCAGAGTAACGATGGAGAGGTGGTTTTCATCAGCGTCCTCATCCCCGTGGGCGTTATACCTCGGCCACACTGGGAACATCAGTGACAACGTCCCGTTCTCCCAACGGCCCATCTGCGCGAGCACAAAGAATCAGGGACAGGAATCTAAATTAAGCATTTTATTTTAAAATGTATGTTCTTACGTAAAAGACAAAAAAAATCCTGCGCTTGTTTGTTACCTTCTCCCACTTTCTTTCACTGTTCAAGACGATGACAACCAATCTGGGGTTGGCCTGGTAACCATCTGGAGTAAAGGATAGATCTCGTCCTTCGTTCCACACATGCATCATGTGTCTGAAACACGGGAATCAGAAGAGTGAGGGAGCTGTTGTTTTGTATCTGTCACGGTTTGTGCACAGGAGCTGAAACGTTTAAAGAGAAAACATGTTAAACACTGGGTAATCACCACGAGAGGATCTTCTTTAAATCAATGCTGTCTTCACCCACTGCATGTGTGTGCGCTTCAGCGTGAATCTGTGTGTGAGTGGGGAGGAAGTCAGAGGCCACAGATCTCTCCCATCAACATTCTGCATTGATTTCTCAACAGATATACGCCTGAAAGACGAGTCACTGCCCTCAACTCTCTTACTCACCACAGCTCTGCTGCACACGCAAACAGATCTGTTGCCGAAACATTTACACACTCACTAAAGATAAGCAGCAGAAAAGAGAAAATGAGCCAGTTTTGCATGCAGTCATGTGGGATTACGAATACATTCACTCCAGGAAAAACAAAATCCGAACGCAAGGATGATCTGAGTGTTAAAAAACAGGATAATGGCATGAATTCCTCCTGAGGGGAGAGAAATGCAGTCTGAGGAAGTTCAGTGAAAAGAATTATTCAAAGGATGGTCACCATCTTGTCTTAAATGCCTTAATTTTGTTTCTATTTGCGGCCGCTGCCAAAAGGTAAAGGAAAACAATCATGATTTTCCTGTGCCTGTATGTGTTTCTCTGTTAGCATAATATCTCATGAATGGTAGCTGAGACTGATCCCCAGCACGTAGTGAGGAAAAAACAGATTGCTCAAGATTTTTGTTTAATATTTTGCCATATACAATAGATACTGTGCAAAGGTTTTAAACCTCTTCTTATTTCTCTAAACTTTCCTTCAAGCAGCCAGATTTACATCATTATATAAAACCATCTTGATCAATAGCCCTTCAGAGTTTCTGATGGTCTTTGAAAGTAATTCTTTAGCTTTTGGCTGCTTTATCACAGATGATCTATCCGGTCTTTGTACCTGATCATGGCAGAATGTTGCACAGTTTGTGCTTAAAATAAATAAATTAAATAAAATCATAAGCACAAAACAGAAGAGTCATGCTTGAAATAAGTATCAACAGCAGATGAACAGATCTAGAAAGTCATCTTAGAAAGAAAAAAAAAGATCCAGCAAAGATCTGACGCAGGACCTGAAAGATGCCTCATCCCTCAGTTAATCATCCACTGGATAACGAGGTTTTATTGGTGCAAAGACACTTTTTATGTATCAAACTGGGACTTCTTTGATTTTTTTCCCCCCGAATGGATTCAAATAAATCTGTCATCATCTCAAAAGCTCATATACCTGAAATACAGCCCCAAATCTCAAATGAGTTGAAAAGGAGGCGCCGTGGACAAATTCACGTCAACCTGACGGCGGTGCTCGAATACCTGACCGCCGAGATCCTGGAGCTGGTGGGAAACTCGGCTTGTGACAACGGGAGGACTGGGATCATCCCCCGGCGCCTTCAGCTGTCTGTAGTGTCGAGGGCCTCAGCAGACTGCTGGGAGGAGTGACCATCACTCAGGGAGGAATTCTGCCCTACATCCGGGCAGTCCTGCTGCCCAGGAGGACCGAGAGATCCACCAGATCTGACATCAAGCTGGATCCGGGTGGACGGATAGGTATCTGTGGCCAGATTCTTTGGATTCATAACATTAATGATCCATAACCTCGCCCCTCCCTACCTGTCCGATCTCCTGCACATTATCACCCATTCACGCTCGCTTCGTTCTTCCTCTTCCATCCACCTCAACGTGCCTCTCGTCCGCCTCAGCACCATGGGACACGGAGCCTTTTCTCACTCTGCTCCACAACTCTGGAACGCTCTTCCCCCAGACATCCGTACTGTTGACTCCCTTCAGACCTTCAAATCCCAACTCAAAACTCATCTGTTCCAGTTAGTCTTCTCACTTAAATTTATTATTTTCTTCTTGGTTTAGTGTTTTTAAAGCCATTTTGTATTGTTTTATTTTGTGTTTTATTTTGTGTTTTTAATGTTGTGAAGTGTCCTTGGGTGTCTTGAAAGGCGCTAACAAATAAAATACATTATTATTATTATTATTCACTGCAGGAGAGCCTTCCTGTCCATAGCTGTCAGCATGTATAACAACTCCTGAATGAAACCAGGATGATGAGCTATGACAACACTTAATTTCCCTTTGGAATTAGTAAAGTATTTTGGAATTGAATTGAAATAAACAGAATCTAATTGTGTTTTTGTAACAGGTTGCTGGTAGCAAAGTGCTTTAAAATCAATTGTATGGACTGATGAAGTCCTTTGGATGAAGGATGAAATGTCTCAAAATTTTTTTATTTTTTTTTTACCTGGATTATTGAGCATGAACTTTGTCATTTTAAAATTGGTGTATTGCTAATTTTGTTTTTACATCTCGACACAATGCTGGCTCATCCTTTTGGGTTTAGGAATCTTTTGTGCCTGAATGATTCATATGTCACTGAGTGGCTTACCAAACAATAAAACATTTCTCTTAAAAGGTCAGGTGCCGGACTGAAAGAGAGAACCCATGGTATAAAAATAATAACTTTATTTCTTCATATTCATTTGAAATGCACACGGTTCAGTTCCTTTCTTGTTATTTTTAAACAGGAATTTAGACAGCACCATCAAACGGTAATTCTGATTTTTCTGAGAGCTTACTAGGGCACAAGGCCACGAAGAATTCATGCATCAACTCAAATATTGTGACAGAAAGTCAAGATGTGTAAGAGTCCTGCTTAATGTGCACCCTGCTGGTGAAAACTGTGATAATTACTCTCAACTCAAAAAGGTGGGATTTCTTGTCTCATCTGCAGGAGAGATATTAATGTTGACACACTTAAATGCTGTTGTCAGATGGAGAGTTAGAGACGTGCATGTGCTTTACAAAGGCTCAGGAGTTGGTCTGTTTCAAGACGGTTTCCACGTGGAATAAAAGTGTACGCAGGCATCGCAAAAACACCGAACAGCTCTGCAATGGATACACGCTCTCCCAGCAAATATGAATAATTATTTACTCAGACAGTTACGCATAATAGACTCTTCAGTGCTTTGTATTAAATTTGTCATTATTATAATTTACAGTAGTTTGAGTTATTAGCAGCATGTTGAGATGAACATATTTTTTGTATTTTCTAAATTCATCATAGTGCAGCAGGTGATGCCCTTGTCGCAGCAAATTGCCACGGCTGAATACATATAGCGGAAACACCATCGCAGTCTATTCTGGGAAACTGATGTCTCCTCCAATTTCAGCGTTCTTAACATTTTTGACAAAAAATAAAAGAAATGAATAAAAGAAACAAACGTTAAAACAAAAGACATTTTGACATGAAGAGAAGAGACTGGTGTTTTGATGCATTCGCATCAGTCAAAGTTACTTCATATATTCATGTTTACATGTTAGTGTGGGGTCTGATGTACTGTTAAATGCAGCTGCAACGAAAAAAGTTCACTGATTTTTATATAGTGTTATTGCATTTTATATTGATATTGACATTACATATTGATTTATTATAACTATTTGTATAAAATACAAGAAAAAAGTTAGTTCGGAAATGTTGAAGTGGGCATGGCTATGAATAGTTAATATCTTACCTGTTGCAGACAGCTCATTAAATGACCTCAGTTTAGCAAAATAAAGGTTAATTCTGACTGGAATCACAAGCTAATGGCTAGTCAGAGCAGGACCAAGGCCAGAGTGGACAACAGTGGCAGAAATTATAAAGGAAGACCCTGCTTGTTGATTTTGTCTTACCATTTCTTAAACATGTTGAGGAGAAAATCCCAGAGATGAGACAGCCCTGAGCAGTGGAACATGCAAGACGTTTTGAATGGGTTTATCTGAAAGAAGACTAGGCCACCTGCAGTTTTATCTTCACTTGAAGGATGGGGAGAGAGAACATGAAGCTGTTCTACATGAGAGTCTTGTTGCATCTAATGAGGGCATCTCAGAAGATCTACCAATGAATCTTATTTTCCACAACACTGCCGTCTTAAAACAACTCCACCCTCAAAACTTTCATAAACAGTTTTATGATTTGATATTTTGTTGTGTCTATATTTTCTCATTACATGTAGTTTGAACAAGTAACTGAACTGGAGTGGTGGCAAAGAGGTTAAAGAAGGCAAGCCTGCAATTGGGAGGTCACCAGTTTGAATCCTGACCGTTACACCGAAAATATGGGAAAGGTGAAAACAATTTAATTTGGCACGCTAAATTGCTTCTCCACGTCCACTTGCACCCTCATTTGCTCCACTCTAGGCCTTGAGGGAGGCCCTTTACCTAGAAGGGAACTGAAAGGGGACAATAATTTGTTTACTTTGAACATTTTAATTATTAGCCAGCACAAAGAGTGGCAGCAGCATCTAATGGTACCACTTCCAGTTCTGCCTCCAAGAATATCACAAGATTTCTGCTGTAATAACCTTGTAATGCAAAATGAACAGGAAAAAACTGATTAAATACTGTGATTGATGTTATTTATAAATAGATATATATTATTCAACCTTTATTTAGACAGGTTAATGCTCAAACTAGTCTATAGCTCATCAATTTGAACATATGTCTGAACTAATCCAAATGATTCCCTCAAACTGTGGTCAAATATAAACAATTTACAAGAGGTAAGATATTACTTCTGTAGGAGTTCCAGTTTGTTCCTTACAGCTCTTCAACACCAGATGGCGCCAACAGGCTCACGCCTGCCGACCATTATTCTAATTCAGTTCAGTTTATTTATACAGCGCCAAGTCCCAACAGAAGTCGTCTCAGGGCACTGAACAGAAACATTCAAATATAGAAATAAGTTAATTTTATTAATCTGAGGAGCAGACTGTTTTGAATTTAACTCCCATCACAGAACTGTCATCTTGAGCAAACAGGAAGGCAACAGTGGAAAGGAAAAACTCCCTCATGAGCTGTAGGAGCATAAATGGCAGTTGATGACTTCACTTCGACACTGGTGCATTACTACAATCTTGTTTCCTGCGTGTTTCAGCTTCGTAAAGCTCCTAGTGGTTTCTCCA